GTCTCGGTGGAATTTACGCCCTGCATTTCCTTGCATCGTCCGTGACCGAAGCCGAAGGCAGACTGCGGACCAGCATCGAGCATCAGCTTCTCAGCAAAGAATGGTCCTACAAGGACGCCGTGGCGGGCGATTTCCTCCTAGCGAATCCAGCCGGGAAGATGTGGATGGGAGACATGATTGAGATGGGATTTCCAAGCTTCGCATTCTTATGCGGAGAACTCCTTTCCTATCTCTTCATCCTCCTTCAGTTCGATGGAAGCACTTAAGAATTGGGTTCACTCACAAGGAAAATTAGGAGTTAGGAACTCTTAGAAATTAATATAAGGGCTCAAATATATACTTTTCATCCTGAAGCACTTTTCTCCACAAATGCAAAATGTTTTTTTCTAGCACCTTGCCGTGCTCACACAATGAACTCATGGGAGCGAAACACTTTGCCCTTCGATGGAATTGACTGGTCTCATTAACCCTCGCATTTTGTCGGAAATAAACATATTTTCTTTCCTTTCATGGCTTCATTTTACTCAATGCGGGATATTGTTCTTTGTTAACCACTGACTCTTTCCTCGATATGAAAGTAATTAAGCTAGCAAAACCATCGAAACCATCGACAGTTTGGAAGGGGGGCATTGAAGACCGCGATAATTTTTTATCTTCGAATTTTTGTCTGGAAAAGGACTGTCAATGAATATGTGCTAATTGTAGGTTATGAGTAAAATCGGTCGGTTCTTCTTGATCTCGAAGGATTGGTCGTATGAGGACGCCGTGGCCGCTGATTTCCACTTGGGCGAATCCAGTTGGGACGATGTGGATGGGAGACGCGATGGCGATGGGGTCCCCTGCTTTCGCCTGCCTCTGCTGAGAGCTCCTTTCCTCTATCATGCTTCTTCAGTTTTATTGCAGCACCAAGTAGCAAGGTTCCCTCGGGAAGTCTTAAGGTGATGAAAGGCCTGGGGTTCGCGTAACGCACGCGTCTCCCTCGCAACTTCCCAGTTTTTCTCCACGCATCTCCCCTAATAGCACGGACACTGAATGAACTCGAATGGAAAAGAAACCTTTTTAGACGCTTCATTTATGAAATGGCTGGATTCATTAAATATACCTAATAATATAACATTAAATATTCCCGCACAGTCTGTCAGAAAAAGACCACCAGTGCAATATTGGGATTCGCAACGTCCATCGCTTAGGCATGCCAGGCAGTTGCGATTTTGCACATCAGCAGGTTTCAGCGATAATGTAAAATCCGTTGGAAGGAAATAATTATGATAATTATTAACAACGATTTGTTGGGGGGGGGGGGGTTGATTCCACTCATTCACTTTGGGTAAAAATAATTCCAAACTTCATTCCGACCAACACCTATTTTCCTTAACCAGCCATGTGTTCAGGGGTTCGGGGAGCAATTTTATCAGAGCCAGCTGCGGACTACTTAAACCATCCATCTAATAAGTGGCTAATAAGTCTTTCCTCGGTGCCAATTTGGCATAAGTTATTTTGGTTTATTCAACGCCAAAATATTCACAAAAAGTAAAATAACCATTTATCATAAAGGAAATGCATGCCGCTTTGGATGACTTAATTCGCCGCTCCTCTCCCCTTCTAAAGTTGACAATTGCGAGACGAGAAGGAGATGGCCTTCTTTGAAAGCCCACCATGTCGCCATGTCCCCCATGTCGCCATGTCGCCATGTCCCCCATGTCGCCATGTCCCCCATGTCGCCATGTCCCCCATGTCGCCATGTCCCCCATGTCGCCATGTCCCCCATGTCGCCATGTCCCCCATGTCGCCATGTCACCATGTCACCGCTAGATCTCAGCGAACCTCCGTTGCAGCAAGAGATGTTTTGTCGAGAGCCTTCCAAAGGTCTCCGACCGAAGCATTTTGTGATCGGAATGCCGACAGAGTTCGGACGGTGTGAGGAAAGAAAACCAGGGAGCGGCCGGGGATCGAACTCTCGACTGCCGGTCGGGCGTGCCACCACTACAAAGCGCGAGGCGTTTTCGTCGAAGCACTTCATTCGCCCCTCGTCGCCCCACCTCTTTTCATTCGCCCTCGAAAGCCCCGAAAGCCACCTCTAAACCGTAACTCGAATAAACCGGAACCCGTTCATTCGTCGTCGCGATCACGCCTCATCGACGCGTTTCCCCTCGTCGTCACGCCCAGGTCACGCCCCGCGAGTCGCGTGCATCCACGGATTAGCATCAGTTATTTCCCGTTCCGCTGCGAGTGCCGCCTTCTCAAGCCGGCTGGAACGGGGGCAGAGAAGGCGGCACCGAAGGCGGCAGTGGAGCTCGGTTGCCAGTTCCTTCTCGTTCCGGCAACCGTGTTGCATCGCGCCCGTTCGCCGTGTCGCGGCGATCGGCGTGCTTGGTCGTGCAGGTGCTTCTCTCTCCTCGTAAGTCTTTATGGAACCCTCCATACATTCTTTATGGAACCCTCCATACATTCTTTATGGAACCCTCCATCTATGTAATAATAGCCTACGTCCTTCGTCTGTGTCCGCGAGAGACTTGCACGGGTCCACTTTCCCCGAACTCGACCCGATCGGCCTGATTCGAATTCCGCCCCATCCGACACGGAACTCGATCCCCAGACCGACCTCCTCCACGGACGACCTCAATGGTCGACCTCAATGGTCGACCTAAACGGACGGCCTTAACGGACCACACCCGTGGATCGAGTCTGGCCGATCCGGCCCGCTCAGGCCTCTAAGCCTCGGAAAAATATTTCCAAGGCTTAGAGGCCTGAGAATCCCGTGACGTCACATCCGCTCTAGCCGTTTCAGCGCCCTCACAGTCAAAGAACGAAAATCCCCGAAATTTGTCATGTTAGAAATCCCGGGAATTTCTTTAAATGGATGGGGGGGGGGGGGAATGACGGAATGCGCTCAATACTACAGGGTGTCCCGTCAGTCAGGACCCATAGGGATTTCTATTATTTTGACTCTAATGATTTTTTTCTGCGACTGTGATTCAGAAAGTGCGGTTGCAGTGGAGATTGCGTCTTCAACTATGTGTGCGACACAACGGCGGACACTTTGAACAGATTATGTAATAAATTTTTGTACTATTTTGTAATTTTATTAATTTTTCCCTCTGGGTCCTGACTTACGGGACACCCTGTATTGCTCCGAAACATGTCTGCTCGAAATTCCCGTTCTGTGCTTTTTTCTTCTTAACGCTATGGGACAGAAGTCGATGAATCTCGATTAGGAAGACTCGAACGTTTCACGGGGAGGAAGTTAAATCGCGTTGGAGAAACGCAGTTGGAACTCCGCCGTCGAACGCGCAAACGGATCGCCGTTTCTGCCATCATATTAATTTCGAATCGTCTCGGCTGCTACAAATGCTAAAATGAAGTGAAGGAGCGGAAATGGAAAATTAATTTTTTAAATATAATTAAAATAAATTCGTGCCCTTCAAATTCGTTTTTATAAAATAAGAAATGACCTTGACCACGACCTTTCTCACCTGCGTCTCGACAGCCAAAAGGACCAAAAATCCATGAAGAATCTCATCGGATGCTCCCTCTTCTTCGCGACGAGTTTCCTCCTCCACCTCCTCGCGAACCGCGGACTCCGCGATCTGCTTGACGCCGCCGCCGCGACGGATCCGGTCGGGGATTCCCTGTGCAGCCGGCGAAGCACGCTGCGCGGTCCTCGCCAGAGGATCGTCTCCTTCGGTCTCTTCGGGGACTTCGGGAATCCTCGGGCGAAGGGTCCGTACGAGAAGCTCTTGTTCAAGATTCCGGCCAGCGTCAAAATGTGGTATCCAGGTATTACGAAGTTAATTTTTCGGCCGTTAAATATTGGTAATAAAATATCAATAATTGATAAGCGCTGCAATTCTTCTCCAATCGTGACGACAGGTTGGGCAGTGAGGATATACACGAATTATTCCACGGCCGACAAGGACATCACGGCCTGGATGGACGCCATCGAAGATCGATATCCCTTCGTGGACTTCTGCCACGTGGCGAGCCTCCCTGGGCTCTCCGGAGACATCCAGAGGAATCAGAGCAACGGGAGAGTGTGGAGGTTCCTGCCGATGATGGATCCCCTCGTTGACGTCTTTGTGTCTAGGTCAGCTCAGACCCAGTTTGTCTCGTGTGCCTTAGGGCGTAGCAGAATGGAAAAACACCATGGTGTTAGGAAGATCATGATATTGAGAGTTTAGCTTTCGCTTCTCTGATAGAGATACGGATTCCCCGGTCACGGTGCGTGAAGCATCAGCCGTGAAAGAGTGGCTGGAGAGCAAGTACCTCTTTCACGCCATGAAGGATCATCCGGCGCATGAAGGACCCGTCTTCGCCGGTGAGTCGCGCTGCACCGTAGCTGTCGGCTGAGATGTGCTGTGATGACTCCCTACGTCTGAAAATCTGAGAAAGGTAGTTCTGATCACAGATGTGGTTAGAATTACCTTCAGCTTGAGACCACGACCGGCCTACATGGTACACTCAGAGAAATCTTCTTCTACAATAAATAACCAAATAAATATTTTTAAAAAGCTGTTCAATTGGTCAGGTTTAAAAGCACACCCTTCAGAATAGTCAATTCCAGTTATTAAGGATGGCGAGCAGCGACTCGCCTTTCGTTCGTTCCAATCGTCTCCTAAAAGAGGACGCTCGTCTTCATCAGCTCTGCTGCCAATGGTCACCAGCGAGCACGGCTGACCCTTGCTATTCTGGCACCTGGTGCCAGACAGCCAACCCCCCCCCCCCCCCTGCCCTGCGGAAATTATAGGTCTCATGCCTACGAAAGACTAAGTTAAGATTTATTGCTGTGTCGTAGTAGGCACTGATGGTTCGGCGCTGTCGACTCGATCGAGACTGTTTTTCATTCAGAAAGCAAAGGAAGTAACCAGTATTGTACGCTTGATAGTCACAGCATGCCGCTGTGACGGTCAGGAGTTCATTACTGGTCAAAGACAGCATGGAATAGCGCCTGGAATTGCTATGCCAAGAAATATTTAGATTAGAGACTTATTTGGAGCTTCTGATTGTTCATTATGCATCACCTTGTAGAAGAGCGACCAGCAAAAAATCCCATAGAAGGGTTGATATTATTTTACAGTCTCGTGTCTAGACAATCCAGAGGATTTGGTAGTATCGATTTCAAAGCAGTGAACTATTGCCTTGACTACAATGACTCTGGTGGACTAAACTTTAAATTTTACCTTTACATCTATTTTGTCTCTTTTGTTATAGGCGTACTACGTGCTTGCTCTTGAACAGGTCTTTGGGGTGCAAAGGTGTCACAGAACCGAAGTTTTGTTGGATACTTGGGGAGGAAAATGATATTCGAGAGCGGACGCAGCAACGACAACGGCTTCGACCAGGAGCTCCTCAAGTCGGTCTTGTGGCCAGAAGCGGAACAGGATTTCGTGAGTCTTCCATCGAGGTCGCCACCCCACGAGCGCCTCGAAAGCCTCACCGACTCCTCTTGCGCCTTGCAGTTGGTGCACGCCAGCTTCCACTGTGATAAATTCGTCGGGGGAGAGACGAGAGCCTTCCCGACGCGTCGGAGGCACGGCTTCTGGCTCGGCTCGGGCACCCGACATCCCCCGATCTCGACGACGTGCCCGCTTGAGTGCAGACCGAAGGAACATCCCGACTGGACGACATGCTGAGATCCTTGTCATCCGCGTCGAGATGATTCCTGATATTCAAGTCATATTCTGAATGAACTCATTTTTCTAAACGTTTAGTTTTGATTCCAGATCCTTTTGGAAGTCACGAGTACCAAAACAGTACGAGAAGTACAAGTTAGTGCTGAATCTCTACCTCGTATCGAAAACACCAGTGACGACTTTCCTCAGGGAATGGAACAAAGCCGAAGACAGCATCGCTAGCTTCAGAGAGTCCCAGAATCGACCACATTCCTTAATTTTTTGTGAAGCATTAATAGCCAGAACGATCCCAGGCTTTCCTTGCGAAAGCCAATGTATTTAGACCCAAATAATGCAGTTGAAAGAGCAGGCTGGTCGGCTCCAACTGGGAACACGCGCTGTCGACATTCGCTGCAAGAAGACTGATGGAAGAAGCGGAGACGCGCGATTGGGTCCCCGAGGCTTGGGTGCTGCGTTGCCGGGTCTCTGCTGCGTTGCCGGGTTCACATTCGAGTAATCAGGTCCTTTGGTCTCGTCCGTCTGCCTGCAGGAAGGGTCTGTCGACAAGGCCGTTTCTAGGGGCGGGCGAAGCAGGCGATTCTCTGGAATGGACACACGTTGTCATGGCGCCTGCCCTTTCCCCCCACTCCCCCCACTCTTTCCTTCAAGCTACGCTTATGTCTTCGACCGATCACTTGTCATTAGATGCTCTGTCTGTTACAATGTCCTCCGTCGGCCCTGCGCTCCGAATCGATTCGCGTGGGATGACGAACGGAGACTGAGGCGTGCCAGCCGACGAGACGGCTTCTTTCCCGTCTGGCGTTTTCATCCGGTTTCCATTCTGTTCCGTTCATCCTCTCCGGATGGAAGTACTCCTGCGAAGTACTCCTGAAGTACTCTTGCGAGTACTACCTTCTCTCGATTGCTTTCTGAGGCTTCCACGGTAGTCTAGAAATGTATTTGGCTGACCCGATCGGGTTGCCATCTGGTGGCTCGGCTGTATCACTAATCCCTCATTCCGTGCGGGTGAAGAGAATCGTTGTAAAAGGAATTTTTTTTTAAATTATTTAGAAAAGTAGAATATTCTTGATAATTCTTCGAAAAGTTAAAAACTAATCTCGTTCAGGAATGAGGTTCGTCGGAAGTCCTAAGCGGTTTGTCTTTCGACGAGTGGCAGCCTCTGCCCGAACAAAATTAGATGGGAGTTCCTTCTCGATGAGAAATTGCAATGGAGGCTGAGAATGCGAAAGAGCGGCAGGAACCGCGACAGGTGCTTGTGGCACCTGTTAGGAGTTCCATGGAGTCGTTGGTAGGGCGAATGATGATGTCGATGCTAATCATCATCTCTGCGATGCATGTGAAATATTGAGTTTCTATTGACCGTCCAAGACCGAAGTATTGGGTACTCAGACACGTCCGAGCATTTATCGAGATATTTGGAGCATAGGGGAGAAGAAAGGGAGGGGAAGAGCCCCCCCCCCCCCCCCCCCCCCTTTTTAAATAAAAACCGTATTAGAAGCGAGGAAGGGGAACAACGAGGAGACAACACCCGATAGCATCGACAAAGGGGAAAAAATTAAATATTGAAGCAGCGGTAGGAGTGGGGATGCCCACGCCCTCGCCGATCGACCTCCTCGCATCCCCTCGACCTCCTGGAAGCGGGAAACCCGAGAAGGCAGCAGCGGGGGGGGTCTGCTCCCTCGGAGGCTTCAGTCGCCGCCTGGCCGCCGCCGAGCGAGGACGCTCGCGGCGTCTCGCCGCTTTTTTGCTGCCGTGAAGTGGGAAATCGGCGTTTATGTGTCGTCTGTGCAACGTAACGCGTATTTGATGCATCATGCGATACATCGTCGAGCTTCGCGTCGCATCCGCTCACACCGTCTTGCCAGTTTGACGTCCGACAGCGAACCCCAATTCGGCATCGAACGTTTTTCGCACCCCGAAAATAATCATGCAGCCAGGGATTAAAGAAATCCCAGATCCCTTTCAAAATTAACCATACGCCACGCAGACTGCAACTCCATTGCATCGACGGGAGAAACATGACCGCTTCGATAACGTGACAAAGCCTGCACAATTGGACGTTTGGATTATTATTATTCACGATGGGGAAAAAATCACTTAACAGTTCTTGTATGCTGAAGAAATAGCTCTTTTGCTAATTTGCTATTCTTTGTTTCAAAGTAATACTGCTGGATGAAGCCGGTAGCTTTCGAAATTGCATTGGGCGATCATTTTCCCCTGTTATTTGTGTTTTGCTGTAAACAACGGTCAATGTATGGCGTTAGAACTTAAACTTTTAACTCAACAACTGTATAGTGACTTTTGCCCCACTCTGTATGTACTTCGAATACGGTTCGAGACATTTCTCAATTTCGAAGCAAAAATTCATTTGCAAATCTGGATCTCCCCTCTCGTAGCCCCATAATCCCGGCAAGCCAAGCTCGAACACGGTTCACAACGAAGGGGGCGCCATGGAAAGCAGTGCTGTCGGACGCAGTGTTGCTCGGCGCATGCGATTCCGTTTTGGAATTGAATAATGGAATCGACTTAATATCTCTCACTGCGTTTGGGAAAATGAACAGATCCATCAACTTAAAAAAAAAAACATTATATCAAGAAAATAGCGTTTCTAGAATAGTGAAATATTTCCGTGCCCATCCCTTGCAACGTTTCAATCCAAAAACGGCATGAGCCACACTGAAAGAGTTACTCAAAAAGTTTCCAACTCTCTGTAATGCTTACCTTCGGAATCCACTCTGACTTTCTTTGAAATAGTCACGCGATACACCTTTTGCAGGGTCGCGGAGTCGTGCTCTTGCGACAGTTTCTGTTTCAGTCACATGTTGCCATATCAGGGGAATAGGATGGATGTGTCACCTATGTCACCCATGTCACCCACGTGCCGCCTATTTAGTCACCTGTGGGCGGATGTGACGCCGCGACATCGTAACGTTCGACCAAAAACTCGCGAACGAGAGTGTGCCCGCGGGGTGCCGTGGTGTCGGAAACCCCCGAGGTCCTCCAAGGTCCTCCAAGGAAAGCCATTGATCGACACCTCGTCATCACCTGTAATGGTATATCGCTTTCTTACACATCACTCATCCGTACGGCTACCGTTGCGAAAACCAAAATCCAAATGCGGAAGCACGAGAACGAGACGGTTCATTCGCATGAATGTTCGGGAACGTTTTGTCTGACCCTCGCATGAAAAACACGAAGGCAAATCATGCTTCTACTTTCGCTAGCTGCAGGGAATTTAAATTCCGTCGCTGCAATTTCGTTTCAGATGATTTTCGGCAGAATCTGAGGTTATCATAGAAATTTGTCACCACCTTCTCATGACAACTGTTCATGGCAAAAAATCTCGCCCGATGTTTCTTTTCGCTTCTCTTCGCCGTGATTGCCTTGGGTTTAACCATCCACCTCTCCATAAATCGCCCCATCATCGGTGGGACCGATGACGATGCTCCCGTATTCCCGAACTTCACGAAGAATGCGACATGGCCGGCTGGGACCATCCTGTGCAGCCCACGAAGCATTTTACGGGGTCATCATCAAAGGATAATCTCCTACAGCCTCTATGGACCCATGGGAACGCCTCGGGCAGAAGCTCCTTATGAGAGGCTCATTTTCGAAATCCCAGACAGTGCCAAGATATGGTATCCAGGTCATGCACTTTTCTGTAATATTTTGAAATTGAAGACAGTGATTTAATTCCTGTAAGCGCTCACAGTTTGACTTGTCTTGCGTCAACAGGTTGGGTGGTGAGAATATACACAAATTATTCCAAAGAGGACGAAAACGCTACGTCGTGGATGCAAGAAATCGAGGATCGATTCCCTACAGTGGATTTCTGCCACGTGGCGAGCCTCCCTGGGCTCTCCGGAGACATCCAGAGGAATCAGAGCAACGGGAGGGTGTGGAGGTACCTGCCTTTGATGGATCCCCTCGTTGACGTCTTTGTGTCTAGGTCAGCTCGGACCCAGTTTGTCTTCCTCAGTAGAGGGGGAAAGGGAGAAAACTTCTCTCTTTTTCTTAGAGATAAAATCAACGTAATATGGAGTCCTTTGGATCTCCGAGCAGAAAAGGCAAAACAGGATTGATTAAATACATCGCATTCAAAACTTTCGTTCTTTCTTTTTCATTAGAGACTCAGATTCCCCGCTCTCCGAGCGCGAGGCAGCAGCCGTGAAGGAGTGGCTGGAGAGCAAATATATCTTCCATGCCATGAGGGATCATCCCCATCATTGGGAACCTGCTTTTGCCGGTGAGTTCTTTTTTTATTCTGGTAAGCTAAAAAAATGAGAACTGAGATAAGCGTGCGCGCATGTACCTCGTATGCTACACGAATGAACTCAGGTCTTTGGGGCGCAAAGGTGTCACAGAACAGAAGTCACGTTCAACATTTGGGGAGGAAGCTGATATTTGAGAGTGGACGCAGCAACAACGACGGTTGGGATCAACAACTCCTCAAGAATGTCTTGTGGCCGGAAGCCCACCAAGATTTCGTAAGCCTCATTCCTCCTAGAAAAAGTCCCTCGAGAACAACGAAGGCCTGATTTGGGACGCCTCTTGCAGTTGGTGCACGCAAGCTTCCACTGCGACAAGTTCGGCGACGGAGAGACGAGGGCTTTCCCGACTCGCCGACCAGGTGGCTTCTGGCTCGGCTCGGGCACCCGACATCCTCCCATCTTCGACGAGTGCCCGCTCAAGTGCAGACCGAAGGAACATCCCGACTGGACGACATGCTGAGATGAAACTCGAGCGATCAACTGTATTAGTAACAGCTTCAGCAATCCAGCAGTAATAGCTGCAAGGAGCATTTCAACGTGTGAGGACACGTTGAACCCGTATCGCAGTTGTCCTTCATCTCGACCATTGTCGCTCGCAATCGTGAGACACAAAAGAGTCTTGAGGCTTAACGCACAGAAAAGATAACAAGCTCAATATTTAAATAGCATGCTTAAGCACCGCGTGGCATCCACAAAGCAAGATTTCACCATCTTTGTTCCACGACGAGATACGACTCAAAACAATAGGGGAAGGTGGGCAAAACGGTGCAGTTAAGGAAAACTGTCAAAATTTAGTACCAAGGAGATGGGGTAGCACGTTGCGGATTGGTATGCGGTACCTTCCATATCTTATCTACGACAAAAATTCAACCTCATCGCGAAAGTGGCTACGGTCTTTTCCCCTCGACAATTCTAAAAATTGTTGTCAAATACCCTGGGGGGCAAAAGGGGGTACTCTTCTAAACGTTGTTTTACTAAGTTTTTATTCACAATACAGTACCTGTATATACCTACTTAAATAGGTCACCAATCAGGAAAAATCAACAAATAAACTTATAATTTTCCACATGTTTTCCAGGTTTTTAAATATTTATTTTAAGGTTACTTACGAAATTATCATAACAGAGACCGCAACGAAACATACACAAATAAACAAATGCCTTCTCTCGTTTCTCCAGGTCTTCATTATATTCCAAACGTAAAAGAATAGAAACAGCTATGATACACCTACAAAGAAACTGTTTCTTGTTTCTTACGTTTTCCCATCCATTATATGCTTATTTACTAAGGTCACAGAAAGGAAACAACAATGAAGCTTCAATGGCAAAAGAATTGCTGCTCCTTTCGCCAAATAAAATATCGGACGCCTTCAATGTTCCCCTGTTACTTCATTTCGTTCATCAATAACTCGAAACAAAAGTCTGTATTTTCTTATTTTGCTCCTAGCGTGTTTGTAAACTACTTTACGGTGCGCCGCCGTGCCTGAAAACTTGCACACGTGGTTGGGGGGGGATACAATAAAATCCGATAGATATCGAATAAGGTTTGAGTAAAATCTGAGTTGCCCCGTTTTACCCCTCGCCCCGTTTGCCCCACCTTCCCTATTCCTCTTCACGCCCCTGCAATTTGTTTCCACTGAATAATGCAGTCATTTTCTGCCAAGATCGCCGAGGAAATAAAGGAAAGGACCTCTGGTCATTTGTCAGTTCTTTCTGATGCACAGATCGATCCCAATCTGTAAATCTGATGAGATCCTATCCGCTGCATAAATCAACCGAAAAACACCTGCGATAATGTCCGCTGTCCCTCTCGTTTGTGGCCCTCTTGTCTTCCGTTTCCTTGCAATATTCTTCTTGCATTTGCATCAACCATTTACTATTCTCGGTACAACTGGAGAATTCCGGCTTGAGACCAGTCTAGATCCAGATACATTTTCCAGCTGGAATGGGACTGAATTTACTCCAGCAGGAAATTATTGTTGGGATTTTAAATTGGGTCACAGGAAGGGGAGGAGATTGATCCAATTTTCCAAATTTAGTTGTCACGGATTTGGGATCCCCGCTGCCTTCGAAACACGTTGTGGGGTGATCAAATCAAGCCTTATTCAGATTAGACATTTATTTGAGGCTCCAACAATTCTACTTTCATAACATTAACATCAGAGAGAAGCGAAGGATGGCAAGAGCGGGCGTGGCAAGGAGGACTCGACAGGGAGGACTCGTGCTTCACCTCAGGTGGACGACGCCCCTACTCCAAGACGTCTGCCTCCAGGTCGGACCCGAAGGCGCGCTGCAACCGGTCGAAATTTCCTACGACGATCGCAGGAGACCGAGACAGGTTAGGGAGAAGGATAGTCCCGCTCGAAATCCCAGGGCCGGCTGGCGATTGCTCATCGAGAGGGGTTACACGTAGTAGTGAGAGCTCGAGAGAAGGTTGAAAATTATTTTTCAGGAGATCGAAGGGCTAAGCTCGAGAAAGGAAAACGGAGCTGGGTACAGATTTAAGTTCAGTCCAAGCGAACGTACAGTCCCGTTCATAACGGAATATCGATCTAGCATGAGAATTAAGCAAAGGGAGAAGAATAACAGATCCGGAAGACTCAAAATGTCGATCGAAACATTCTCGATCCGCCGAGCGACATTCGGCTCCGACCGAAGGTCGTTGCCTCGATCCCTCGCCCCATGCCTCTGGTTCATTCGTCTCTACTTTCCAGGAACGAATACTGCAGATATCACCTAGTCACTTCATTATTCGGAATTATCAGGCGCACGTAAATTAGGACTCAGGTAATTCCATCCTATTTGGCAAAATAACTGCACTCTTTTCTTACTAGATGGCGCAAGTAGAGCCTTCTGCGGTTGGGGAGCCTGTAACGTGACGAAGGTCTTTTCGATCATTTTGTTAGTCGTAGCAAGGCACGAATGTAACTTTTTTTTTTTTTGGCAAGATGGGGTTCCTTTCTGGACGAATTGACCCCGTCGTCATGGTCGCTCGAGTTCGCTTTTGTGATGAATAAGATATTTGTAGCAAGAATGCCTTGTTTGGGGCTCGCCAAGATGATAATCCTACACCCCCTCCCTCCTATCAAAATATTTATTTAATCCCTCAAGCAAACTGACAACATATTGGGATTTCGCATTGTAAACCGACAGCAACGTGCTAGCCGACAGGTAACGCAGCGAGAATGTCCAAGAAAATTACCAAGGCCTCTTCAAATTCGTTTCCACGAAAAGAAAGCAACTCTCCGGATCCACAACAACTTGTGATTCCTCTTGGAAAACCCATTGCCATAGGAGAAAAAAGTAGAGGTCAATTCAAGATGAAGGTCGAAGTTACTCAGAATGCAGTGCGTTTGAACCATTCGGCATCCCTGCGTTTCCATATCTCCCGTGCCTTATTTATCTTGCCGATTAGCGAAGTGAAGGAGAAGGAAAGCCTTCTGGACGCAAGACTCGTTCCCGATCGGTCCGGAGAAGCCGTCCACGCCTTTCACCAGGGATCCAGAGGAGAGCCTTTCAGGTGGAATGCCGAAGCCAACACGAACCGTCTTTCATCGGGACTTCAGATTGGGACGAAAAAGGAGGTCGGAGCGTCACGATGGCGTCCCTGCTCTTATCTTTTATAAGCCCCCCCTTATCTTTTATCGTTCAGGGGAATCTCGCAGAAGCAGTGAATGTCCAGGGATCCTCCCGTTGCCCTCGAGTACGCAGGCGATCCTCGGCGGTACTTGGAAGTACCTGTGTGAGGTAATCTGTGAGAGGGAAAATCCTCAGGTGAAAATCACGTGATCCCCCCCGACCGACACCGCGCTTCTCGGAAGCGTCCCCGGCGACGCAACGGGATTTACATCGGCTGACGTTTTCCATTTCCGCCAGTTCTCCTCGGCCGTGTCTTCCGTTCGCGTTCGCTCGACGTGAGGCGGTGTCGCGATTATCAGTGTGATTTCTTTCTTCGAAGTACCATTAGGCCCTCTCCCTGCCATCAAGTATGAATAACATTTCTTTTAGTTTTTGAAAACTGCGACTTGATCCGCACTTCAGTATTTAAAAAAAAATTTGAAGTGGAGGCTTGAGGTCCTATCTTGTGTTAGACATAGAAATAGCAATTTTTGCTACCCGCCCCTTTTTTTACTTACAAAGTTAAGTTCTCGTACAAGGCATTTTCGTCTTTTTTCATTCACAGTATTTGGATGAAGTTATTCCTCCAGTTTACCCAGGGTTGCCAGATTCCGATTCGGCGAAACCTTAACGTCTTTTTTGGCTGTGGGTCAGCCGAGTGACCTGCGATGGCCGAAAAGACAGTCAGCATTCGATAGGTCTGGAATGCGAACCGCAAGTCCATCGCTCCATGGAAGGCGGGATCGCATGCCGTGTGCAATGCCAAAGGAGGACCTGTTGGACGTTTTTTCGGGTATGATGAGGCGCGGTATGAAAATTTTCAAGGTGTCGTAGGGGAAAAGCCGTTTTGAGTGTACCCTCATAGCTTTTCCATGGTTTTCATGGGTCCGAGAGGAAAGATGAAAGAACTATATCTTAGGAAACGCACTTGTCAATTCATTCTACATTACTAAACGACAGAGAAAAATATTTCCGTCATTTAAATTTTTTCCCAGGTGATTCCCAGCTGATGGAAATCGGCCACGTTTCCCCTCGCCGCTCTGAGAACTGTTGATGGCGAGGATCCATGCGAATTGTTTTTTTCCTCTGCTGCTTGCCTCAGTCATCTTGTGCTTATGCATTCGCCTCTCCATCAACCTCATCTATAGCCCTCGTACCATACTAATAATCTTAGTTATCATAATGCAACCATGTCAGGGCCGCGGGGAGTGACCAAGATTTTGCATGAGAGCCCTGAAATGGAATGCGACATGGCCTTCAAAAAATTCAATATTTAGTGTTATGTATAATTTCATTTAATAACATAAATTTTATTATTTCTTCCCAAAAACTTATTTCTTCTTCTAAAACTTCCTATTCTTCTTATGCCTGGCACTGTACTCCGAAGATCACTTTGTGCTGTGTATGAAGCTCTAGCCTGCAGATTAGAATAAACGAAAATAGTATGAAAATCTGTCTTCAAAGGAGCTTTCCCTACAGCTAATTGCTTCCGTGTCAACGATTACAAACCTTTCCGAAGGAAGCTACTTTGCATTTACTTGTGTTGACAAGGCATTCCGCCTGTAAAGGATCAAGTGCCCGTATTTTTATTACTATCCCTCCCCGACAGTCAGATCGTCTGTCGAATCAAAAAGAGCTTTGTGTACTCGTATGAAAATTACTCTGAAAAAGTACGATTTTATGTATAGACAACCCAGAATCCAGAAAGGAATTTGGTCTGGATCGATGCTGACGGAAATGCAATTTGTAAAAGTGATGAATATTCTCATATTCTTGCTCTCGATGGTTTGATGGGGAGATTCTCAAAACTTGCAGAATGCCCGTGAACGTATTTTATTTCTAAAGCGCACTCGCATTTCACACGTA